GTGAATAAATAGGATGAATTAATATATGAAATAAGAGAAATCTCAATTTTTCGACAACAGTGTCGCTGAGCCCTGCCACAGAGGGCAGACATTTAGTTTATTCCCCTTCACAGTAGTTGATGGGGTTGCTGTGTACTACCTTAGACAATGTAGCCCCTATGAAATGATGCTGGGAAATTGGAGAGAAAATGGCACTCCACATGGGAATCCTACCTATTCTGGAAAAACACTTTACTGCTGTATAAAATAATCCTTCGTAAAGCTAAAGCAGCATATTTCTCCTCATTAATGGAGGATAATAAAAATAATCCTAGATTTTTTTAATAGAGTTGCCTGTCACTCACTCAGAGCAATAACTCTGTTGAACTCCATTCTCATCATGCTTTCCCCCATCAAATTAGCTTGATCTGGTCTGTTCCTGTTTTAGTGTGACACCATCCTGGAGAGAAGTATCAGCTGTGCTGCTGCAAACAAAACTTGATTTTTTTTTTATATAGATATTGGAGCCGGGTTTGTATTTCAATGCAGTCATGTTTATCTGAGTGTGACTAATTGTATGTGCTTTCCTTCATCCTTTAACATGGGAGCTGACTTTGTGTTTCTGGGACGGGGCCGCCTGTGGAGCTGGTTTACAAAGAAGAACCGGCTCTTTCGACCCCTAATACTCCATTATCTGTGACCTCCTATAGCTTTAGTGGGCAAATATGAATGTTATGTTATTTAATCCTTTTGCATTTATTTATGTGAAGCCCATACTTACCTCATTTTATGCATTAGTTCTGTTAGGAAAGATTAATTTGTACTTTTTTGTAATGTTTTATTTAAACGTTTCACTGTTATTTAACACAAAAAAGAATAAATAATTTCAAAGAAATCCATTGAAAACAATGATAACAGAAGCAAACTCCACGTGGCTGTTGCATCTGTCCCCCTCTCTGTTTGCAAAATAGTATGATCCCAAATATCCACACTTACAATGAAGCTGTGAAAGGAAAAACTGTGGAAAACCAGCTCTTCTAATTCGCCATAAACCATCAAGTCTCAGAGCTGATGCTTATGAGGAAGATCCATCACTACTTGACAATGCTCAACAAAGATGCAACACTTCAGAGATTCTTAATAAGATTTCAGAAAAGCCCACATGCTGGTTAATCAGTCAAAATGCATCTGAGTTAAGGATCAGTATGAAATTCGGATGGTATGGTAACCTTAAACAAAAATTTAACTGTTTAAATCAGCTCTAAATTGCCTTATTTTTAAATTTCTGAATAAAAAAATTAAAATGTTAAAAAAATAAAATGCCTGCTATATTGTGGGAAGATTTTTTTTTCTCTGTGAGAGCTGTTTTTAGATTACAGCTATCATGCTGAAATGTCACTTGACTGATGAGTAAAGGTTTTAAGTGATAGGATGACCATGTTTTTAATGCATGTTTTTACAAAATATCACACAGTCCTTTTTATTGTATTTTAGATTCTGAAGTGTTGTTTAAAGAGTAGTTTGTATTTACATCATAACATGCATAAGGAAGCAACAACAAATTACATATGAACAAATGTATATATAATGCATGGCTACAGCAGTGAAGCGATTTGGTCATTTTTTCCTGTCACTTATAAAATGCATCATTCAACTCTAAAGCACAGACCAGTAACCAGTGCATTCGCTAACCCCCAGATTCCACATACTCCGTCAGCGCTCCGCTCCGCCCCGCTGACGTACGTCGTGCGGAGCGCTTGTCTTTCATGGAAATCAATGGGAGCTGTTCCACATCCACCGCTACTCCTCCGCACGTCTCCGTCCACGTACGTCTTCTCCGTCCGTCACCGACAAATTACGGATCCGAGCTATTTTTTGCTCCGCTCAGGTCCGGCCAGGTCAAGATCCGCAATTGCAATCGCACCAAACAGGAAAAAGAACCTCGACAAATTCCGGTTCTTCAAATTAAAATATAGCAGCAACAAAACTAACACCGTTTATTTAAGTGATTGGATCCAAACTATTGGTTATTCACCAACGAGGAAGCAGATTTCTCATCTCCATCAAAATATTTATTTTATACCGAGGGACTTAAAGTTTAATCAAATCCATTCAAACGAAGAGATGCTGAGTTTGGGAGCAGAGAACAAGTTCATTAAAAAAAAGCAGTTTTCAATTATCCTTATCCCCGTTACAAAAATCTACAAAAATATATATATATATATTTGGGCAGAAACTGAACATATGCTGGATGATGGTGGGATTTTTTTAATATGCCATATTAAATTAAGCGCTCACAGGGTTCATACAGGAATGAGTGACTCTAATTTAATGCTATTTGAAATTATTTTAATGCCATCAACAAGAACCATATACACAAGTTATTAGTGTACATGAAATATGAAGGAGCTGTAAGCAGAGTTCCATACACACACACACACACACACACATATACACTCACCGGCCACTTTATTAGGTACCCCATGCTAGTAACGGGTTGGACCCCCTTTTGCCTTCAGAACTGCCTCAATTCTTCGTGGCATAGATTCAACAAGGTGCTGGAAGCATTCCTAAGGGAGTTTGGTCCAAATTGACATGATGGCAACACACAGTTGCCGCAGATTTGTCGGCTGCACATCCATGATGCGAATCTCCCGTTCCACCACATCCCAAAGATGCTCTATTGGATTGAGATCTGGTGACTGTGGAGGCCATTTGAGTACAGTGAACTCATTGTCATGTTCAAGAAACCAGTCTGAGATGATTCCAGCTTTATGACATGGCGCATTATCCTGCTGAAAGTAGCCATCAGAAGTTGGGTACATTGTGGTCATAAAGGGATGGACATGGTCAGCAACAATACTCAGGTAGGCTGTGGCGTTGCAACGATGCTCAATTGGTACCAAGGGGCCAAAAGAGTGCCAAGAAAATATTCCCCACACCATGACACCACCACCACCAGCCTGAACCATTGATACAAGGCAGGATGGATCCATGCTTTCATGTTGTAGACGCCAAATTCTGACCCTACCATCCGAATGTCGCAGCAGAAATCAAGACTCATCAGACCGGGCAACGTTTTTCCAATCTTCTATTGTCCAATTTCGATGAGCTTGTGCAAATTTTAGCCTCAGTTTCCTGTTCTTAGCTGAAAGGAGTGGCACCCGGTGTGGTCTTCTGCTGCTGTAGCCCATATGCCTCAAAGTTAGACGTACTGTGCGTTCAGAGATGCTCTTCTGCCCACCTTGGTTGTAACGGGTGGTTATTTGAGTCACTGTTGCTCTTCTATCAGCTCGAACCAGTCTGGCCATTCTCCTCTGACCTCTGGCATCAACAAGGCATTTCCGCCCACAGAACTGCCGCTCACTGGATGTTTTTTCTTTTTCGGACTATTCTCTGTAAACCCTAGAGATGGTTGTGCATGAAAATCCCAGTAGATCAGCAGTTTCTGAAATACTCAGACCAGCCCTTCTGGCACCAACAATCATGCCACGTTCAAAGTCACTCAAATCACCTTTCTTCCCCATACTGATGCTCGGTTTGAACTGCAGGAGATTGTCTTGACCATGTCTACATGCCTAAATGCACTGAGTTGCCGCCATGTGATTAGCTGCTTAGAAATTAAGTGTTAACGAGCAGTTGGACAGGTGTACCTAATAAAGTGGCTGGTGAGTGTATATATATACGTATATATATATTCTCTAGCTTTTTCTCCGCCTCGAGCTTCCTTTCTGAACATACGGCTTTATGATCAGTTCCACGCAAATTAATAGCGATATAATATATTGGACGAAATTGTTTTTATAAGCATTTTTTATTAAAGAATTATAAATACTTCGATAAACATATTTAAATAATTTTAGTGCCATTTAAGGCCTTGATTTAAAGAAAAAATGAATGAATTGTAATTATTTTTAATGATCCGAGGAAACCCTGGTTCATCTCGCGCATGCTCTCTACGATCTCCAAGGAACTGAGAGCGGAGCGGACGGGACCACAGCGGCGGCTGTAGGCTTTGCTTTGCGCAGGCGGTCTGGAGCGCAGCGGGGCAGAGCGGAGCGGAGCGGAGCGGAGCGCTGACGGAGTATGTGGGATTTCAGGGTAAGCTGTGTGCCTTAGTAACATGATGGTAGTTTTTGTTTTACTAATAACAGATGGTATATGTAACTTGTCCATCGCAGATAATTTATCATAAAATATGTACCGCCTCCTCTGGCTTCTGATGCTGACTTTGGAGCCCATAAAACAGTAAACCAACACCAGCAGATAACATAGTGCCCTTTGCCATCAGGGAAAACTTCACAATGGAAGCTAAAAGAAAGCGACTTTGTTTCTCTCCTCTCTGCACAAGTCTGTCTCATTAAACAAGCTCTAACACTAACCTTGATGTCTACACTGGATTAAATGTAGGGCTAAACAATTATGACTAGTTTTCTAATTTGGTTGGCACTAGATCTATTTATCAGTGTAAATGTACCTAATGGAGGTGGTACTACGTAAAAGTCTTAATTATGCATTAGTCCTTCAGAAAAATAAGCCAGGTTTTGCAAAACAAATAAAAATCCCAAACTTTTCTGCAAAAGCATTTTAGGACATAGATTACCATAAAATCTGAAATTATGCATTTTGGTAAAAGTAAATGTCGCCGCAGCACATAGTATGGGAATGCTATCGAAAGCGGTTTCCATCTGCATAAACACACTATAGTTATGATACCTCTGTTTTTAATTTTTTCAAAAATGTGAACTAATCTGGCAAAGGAGCCTGAAACATTTTCTCCAAAGAGAGACAAAGGGGCTTTATTGTTGCTGTGGTTAAACTTGATCAAAATATAAATCCAATCGAAAATAAAGAAACAAGTGTGACCCCTGTAGCAAAGGCAGCTGATGCAAATCATCCAGATCTACATTTAGGCAAAAAACTGTGCAAGGTGAGATTTCACACACTCAGTGAATGAAAACAGTCTTTATTTTAAACACTTATGTGATGATTTTAGATTTTCAAAACATTAAAAATATTACCTTGTAGCCCATGGTGGGTTTCAGTGCATACTGTGTTGGTGTTGCTTAGAAACAAACTGCAGCCTTCAGGTCTCGTCTCATTACCTCTGCAGATGGAGACATACAAAAATCACTTACTTTATTACATGCTATATACTCTGATTTTTTTTTATTTTTTTTTGCAAATATCAGTGATTCATAAGGGTAAACGCATATCAATGGATACAAGTAGTACAGATTGATAAAAGATATACAATGATAAGAAGCATTCAGCACAAACAATCTGACAACATCTCTACATCAGGTAGTAGACCCCTGTCCTCCATCCACGCCGTTCGAGAGCAACAGTAATTTCTTTCCTGGAGTGTTTTCAGAGTCTGTTCATAGTGGTAATAATTTTGGGCGTCCACGCCCCTCTGCACCGACACTGCAAGGAGCACCAAGGAAATGGAAACAATACAAACACAGCGCAGAGGGGAGTGGACGCCTAAAATTAATTTGTAAACACATCAATTGTAAACCAAGCTTTAGTTTTAACTGCTGGTGTAGCAGTTAAAAGTGTATATCTGTTTTGTATATCTAGGTACTGTATGACTGTGGATAATTTAAAAAGAAATTATGAAAATTTTCTTCTGCTTCTTGCACAAAGAAAACAAGATTTTAGACGCATGGTCCCTCCTTTATCTGACTGTGACTGTCAAAATCAATACTGATAAGATCAGGATTTTTTCATGTTCCTTGTATCTGTTTTAATAATGATAATAATAATACATTTAGTTTATACTGCACTTTCCATCAAACATCTCAAAGTGCTACAGGTAAAAAGAGAGACAATTAGAAAAATAAAAAAGCATGAAAAAACACTTAAAGGGACCAAAAGCTTTCCTAAAAAGAAATCTTTTAAGGCTTCTTTTTAAACACTCAGTGGATTGAGGGGCCCTCAAGATGGCAGGGAGGGCATTCCACAGATGTGGGGCAGCAGCACAAAATGCCCTAACTCCCATTGTCCTAAGTCTGGTTCTGGGAATGTGGAGGAGGTTTGAATGAGTGGAGCGAAGGGAGCAGGTTGTGTTCTGTGGGTTGATAAGTTCTTTGAGGTAGGGGGTCATATGCATAGATGCATTGATGTGTGAGGAGGGAAACCTTGTATTCAATCCTGGTGGAGATGGGAAGCCAGTGTAATGAATGGAGAATGGGGGTAATGTGCTCATGTTTCCGCACTCTCATCAGGATCCTAGCTGCAGAGCTTTGAATGTACAGTACTGAAGCCTCTGCAGACTCTTTCTAGTGAACCCAATGAGAAGTGCATTTAGTGTATCACACTCCGTCTCCTTTTCTCAGAGTGTATATAGCCTTATACTGAAATGTGTATGGAATAAGGAGAAATCCAGGCTGCCCCATCAGATTTTGCAAAAGCCAAAATCACTGGGTGGAATTGCACTACTCAACATTTTGTTTTGGGCAAAAAATAATAGAACAACAAATATGAATTACTAGATTCAATATAAAGAGATCAAGCCCCCTCCATCATGATTAAAAGTGAAGGCAAACTCAACCAATTATTAACAAACTTTATTGCATTTACCACTTCACTCATCTACCATCTACATGACTGTAGTGTCTTTCTATCGGAACACCATTTTAAGCAATTCCTTTTTTTTCCTCCATCTTTAATAAATAATACCCTTTCTTTCTATGCCAATCATTTGTTGCATCCTAACACATCTGGTCGACAAGTGCTTACTTCTTAAAACAGTTTATTTCGATATCTTTAAGTTTGCATCTTTGTACAATATTCATTTACAGATTTCCCATCCTTCCTGTGGTTTCAACTTATCTTTTTAGAACCCAATAGTTTACTGAAGGGGGTGATCTCTACTATTTATTTAAATATTTAATCAGACTGACCATGTCTGGTTATGGAACTAAGTTTTAAGTTTTAGAAGATTGGAATCCTCTTTATCCTATGTTTAAGGCATAGCATGTCATATTCCTGTGGACTTTCTGGAGAGGCTATATCCCAGTAGGAGTTAGGTTTTTATATTCATTCTGAACTACATTAGCAATATAGGCAATGGTAACTAACGCTGGACAAATTGTTCCATTTGCAATGTAATCACAATTTGAAATAAAAATGCAATTACTTATAAACAGAATTACGAAGCTTTTGATGATGTAACAGTGGTAGGCAACATCGGCACTAGGGTGCCACTGACCTGCAGATTTAGCATGCATCTCTTCTTGTGCAGAACGCTGCTGACCGGTTTTTAACCAGCACGTCCAGACGTGAACAAATTACCCCTGAGCTGTCGTCACTCCACTGGCTTCCAGTCCATTTTAGAATTGATTTTAAACTTCTGTTTGTTTTTAACACCATTCATGGCTTGGCCCCCTCTTACTTGTCTGAGATTTTAACTTTTTGCAATTGTGGCAGAGCTTTGCGCTCATCTGGTCAGCTTCTGTTAGAGGTCCCTAGGTCAAGACTCAAACAGTGGGGCGATCATTCTTTTGACGTCGCTGCTCCCAGGCTGTGGAACAAACTACCCCCTGACATCCGCACCACTACTGACCACAGCCTTTTTTCAAAAAAAAGCTTAAGACCCATTTTTTCTAAATTAGCATTTAATTCTAACTAGGGTAATACTGTCTCTTAGGTGTCCTCCTTCTGTCTGCTCCTTTCTTTGCACTTCTGGAAGGCTTTTAATGTCCTGCAACGCTGCACCACTAACGCACTTTTAATTGTATCTGTATGTGTTATGTATTGTTTTATGGCTTTGTTGTAAAGCACTTCAGGTACCATTTGGCTATTGTAAAGGGATTTACAAATAAACTTGATTGAACTTGATCGATCTCTTCTTCATCATACCTGAAACAAATAAATGGCTAATTGCTAGGTCTCTGTTAAACCCACCAACATGCATATGATGTAATTTTGCCTTTTGTTTTATGCATATTGGAGCAGGGGTGCATGCAAAACTTAAGGACAGTGGCACTCAAGGACTGGCGTTGCCTACCCCTGATCTATCATTTAACAAGAGATCATCATTCTGCTTCATTCTCTCTCTATTCTCCTATTCTGCAGAATCTTTTAGTTCATTCTCTAACGTTCTGCTCTCTATGCTTTTTCTCATAGTAGCTTTGCCTCGTCTGTTCCTGTTTGGCTGTGACACCATTCTGGAGAGAAATATCAGCTGTGCTGCTGCCATCAACACCCTTGTTTATAGATGCTGGAGATTGGCCTGTTTTCCAGTGTAGTCCTGTTTTTCTGACCGTGACTGGCTGGATGTGCTCTCTTCACCCTCAGACATGGGAGTTGGCTCGGTGCTCGTCTGCCTGGCTGTGTGTTTTCCTGGACTGGGCCACCTTTTACAGCTGCTTTTTGTATCTCTGCTTCTGTCTCCCTGAACCCCAGTCGGCCTTGGCAGATGGCCGCTCACCCTGAGCCTGGTTCTGCAGGAGGTTTCTTCCTTTTAAAAGGGAGTTTTTCCTCTCCACTGTTGCTACAAGCATGCTTAGTGTGAGGGATTGTATTTGAGTCAATGCAATTAACTGGTTTTCCTAAGATAGAAAACTTTGAATCAATGAATGTATGATCTGATTGAACTGTAAAGTGTCTTGAGATGACTTGTGTTGTGAATTGGCGCTATATAAATAAACTGAATTGAACATTTTTAAACCAACAATAACATAAAAAACTATAAAAAAATAGTGAAACTGCTGCTTTTCAAGCTGTATTTTCTGAGCTGTATCAGTATCGCATGAATGCGATACTGATACCCAATACCTGGCTTTGCCGTATCGGCAGATACCGATACTATACCAATACCATCTGTTTGAAATTGATGTGTGTGTGTGTGTTTATATGAAGAACTGCATACTACTTGGATCTAAAATAATTGCCATCATGGCTTTGTCAAGCTGCTGCCTACCTTTGTGAAGCAGGATATACAAAGTATATCCAGTAAAACTTTATTGCCTACCTGGAATGGGTGACAATAGTTGAATAAACTTTTGGCTCAAAATGGTATCGGTGCCCTATTTGTTTGTACTCACCGATACTGATACCAGCATTTTAGTGCTGCTTTATCATGTTTACATTTTGACATGCTGCTATGCAGTGATGGGCAGTAGCGCCGCTACATGTAGCGAAGCTATTAGTTTAACTACATGTTCCAGTAGCTTGACCGTAGCGTCGCTGCTTTATTTATCAAGTAACTTTCCAGTAGGGACTTTATTGCTTTAATAAGCGCACTCTTTCCGAGGCTGTCGTTCTATTGGCTGGAAAGGTTGCTAGGCGACGATCCAACTGCAATCTGAGAGAGAGCAAAAAAAATCCGCAAGCAGAGCCTACGGGTTTGCGAGCGTATCTGAGACTCGAACAGGAGGCAAGCAAGAGGAGAAAATATCGGTGCAAGAAGCATTAAATCTGAGAGAAGAAACAAAGATTTGAGAGAGAAGAGAAAATATTTGAGAGAGAGCGCATGTTTTGAGTGTGAGCATTATACGTTTTGAGTGCAAGAAGATTAAATTCTTTTCTCAAATTGAAATTATGTGCTCTTGCATTATGGCAGGATAATTCTCCCATATGCGCCACTAAGATACTCTAATTAGAGAGCAGTAGTGAAACTTCGACATTGTATTTTCATGGCCTAGTTTACCTGACAAGATGTTTACATAAATCTGTTTTTAGGCTTTGCACAGATAAGATTTTTTAGGTATGGAGGAACAGCTCTACTATAGGGCTGGGCGATATAGAAAAAAAGCTTATCGATAAAAAAAATGCATATTGATCGATTTCGATAATTATTTAAAAGATTTGAAACCACATTTTATGTGCAGGTCTGCCTGGACTTTTTATAATATTGCTAAACGATTTAATTTTAATAAAGAACACAAACACAGACTATGAATTAAATCTTTATTCAACCAACTTTTTTAACCATAACAGAATTGTTTTAAAGAAAAATAACTTAAGAGACCTGAGTTATGTTATTAAATACTGACAAAGAATAAACTAAAGTGACCAGAAAAGTGACCAAAATGAATATAACAAATAAATGCCCCCCCGCCGCCACCCCATTCTTCTAAGCTGAACCTGGTTCAGCTT